TTTATATCTATAAAAATATATAAAATGATATAGAAAAATATTTACTCCTCAGGTAGATTAAACCACCTGATTTAGGCAGGAAGAACGGGCAGAGTTTCAGTAAGTTTGGTCACAAACTTGTACCATATGCATTTGTATTTCCCCCACTAAACATGCACTGAAGGAAGATCCATACCAGTTCAGGGCAAAAATCTTTGGGAACAGAATGATTTACCTTAGAAGAAAACTTGAGATGAACCTCTGCTTCATCAGCTAGACTCTTCTTAAGCTGAGCCCAAGCCTCTCCCAACGTGCTGGAAGAAAAGAGGGACAATGATCACTGTCTCCTGTCCATCCTCCCTGTGAGATCTGTCAGGCAGATCTGGCAGAACATTTTGCTGAGCAAAGTCATGGCCAAGTGGTGAAAGAAACCTGAGAAGACAACCAACCCCCTGACTAGGGCAGGAGTGTACTGGCACTGTATGCAGCAAATCTTGGACAACACCGTTGATAAGGATCACCAGTTAGACATGCCACAGCCTCCCCCAAGATCCTTCAGTATCTTACCCTGACCTTCTAACCCTTAAACTAAACCTTCACCAATGCATTTTTCCCACTGTCCCTTCTACTGTACACCCAATTCTTGGTGAAGAGATCATTCTGCTTCTCCTCAGAGAAGCTTCTCAGTATCTGACAGCTTCTCCATTGTCTTTCTCCTGCAGACAGATCATTGCCTGGATGACAGCAGCTGAGTGATGCTCCTCCAGACCCTCTCTGACAGCCTAGACTCCTCTTAAAGCATCAGAACCACAACTACACTGTCTCCCAGCACAGGTCTTCCCGTTGCTAAACTGGTAGCAGGTTATTTTGTAGCAGACACTCAAAAAAAATTGCTTTTTTAAACAACACTGTGGAGCTGTTGATGAATAAGCTTGTGATTCACTACAGCCAGATCCTTCTCCCACAAACGGTTATGTAACTGTATCTTTCACATCCTGCGAGAGTATCAAACATGGGGCTTTGTCCTCATTAAAATGCAGCTTATTTTTTTCAGTTGATTTCTCCAGTTTAACAAAAGGATTCTGAACTGCAAACCTTTTCCTTCCAACTGACCCTCCTTGCTTTGTCTCACCCCTGATTACAGGAAACCCTTTATCCTTACCATAGGTCATTCATTAACAAAAGCACTGAAAAACCCCTGGACTCAGGACAAGACTTATGGGACCTCACTCCATAGCTACTTTATGCACTTTATTTTGTAAGTTGTGGGTATTTCTTACCTAGTTTTGTACATCAGACTTTATTTAGGTCACATTTCTCTTGCCTGCCTACAAGAAACTCCCATTGCAAAAAGCATTGCCTAATACCTTCTTGATAACTTCCAAAGCACGAAAATACTGTAAATAAGGCACAACCTGCTGCTTTTCTTGGAGGGCCAAACCCCTGATGAGAAGAGACTTCTTCATCCTCTCTCTGCCTTTGCTGCTGATTCTACTGGCATTGACCTTACAGATCTACCCTCAGCAATATATACATTCTGTATGTTCTTCCAAAGTAATTTAGTATGTACACAAACTAATCCTGAAAGGAACTAGTCCTGGCTACAACCAGAACAACATAAACATGACTGGATATCTTTTATACACATATTCCTAAAAAACCCTACCATGAACAAGTGCAAAAAACCCAACAAAACTCCAAAGCAATTCCATCTTCCCCAACACACCCAGGATGCTAAGCTAAATAAACCTCTCCTCAATGGGAGAGCTGAGGAAAATTACATGTACCTGCGTGGGAGAAATGCCTTTTATGTTAAAATTCATCTCCTGTGAAAGTCACAGAGACACACTTACCCTTCCTCCTGAGCAGCCAAGGAATTCTGAGACAGTTTGGACAGGTTCTTAGCATATTCCTCCTCAATCTTTATCCTACACTCACATACACACAAAGAGAAAATAAAAAGACAGCAGTAAGTAAGCTTTCAGGCAGAAACCCACACACATAATTTGAAGAAATTCTCTGCATTTTAACAGATTTTGCCAGAGGAATTTTCCTTTCAGTCTCCAGGGCTTGGCAGCACTGATTTCACGAGCTGTCTTCTCCCCTCCATATGCTAAAAATGCAGTGGTAAGAGCAGGGCTAGATGCAGGACAGCATGTGAGATAAAATTAGAAGAAGCTACAGTTCTGGAGAGCAAATAACAAGGACAAAGTGTTTCTGCTGTGCAACATGGGCTGTCTGCAAAACCAGCTCACTCGAGAGCCATGTTCAGTCTGCTGTGAAACGTGAGGCTAAGGTGAGGGAATGCAGTGAGAACTCAGGGCAGGTTCAGATTAAGAGATTTTTTCCCTGTCAGGGTGCTGAGGCACTGGCACAGGTTGCCCAGAGAATCACAGAATTTTAGGGGTTGGAATGGAGCTTAGAGATGATCCAGCCCCAACCCCTGCCCTGGGCAGGGACACCTCCCACCAGAGCAGGTTGCTCAAGGCTCATCCACCCTGCCTGTGACCACTGCTAGGGTGGGGGCAGCCACAGCCTCCCTGGGCAACCTGGGACAGCGTCTCACCACCCTCACAGGGAAAACTTCTGCCTGAGATCTCATCTCAATTTCCCTCTTTCCATTTCTCCCCATTGCTCCTTGTCCTGTCC